GGTCTGAGCCTTTGGAGCCGTCTTGACGAGCCTTTTGGGCTGTCTTTCAGTGCTCTGGGGCCGTTTTGGGCTCATCTTGGGGGCATGTTGGGCTGTGTTGGGTCGATTTTCAGGGCCTCCTGGGCAGTTTGGAACGTTGTGAAACGTCAAAAGACGCATATGCGAAATATGTACGGTTTCCTCGGGGCATGGGACGATTTGTGCTTCTTGGGGCCCTCTCGAAGGGCCTCTTGAGGCTTTTTCGGGGCTTCTTGTCGGCCTCTAGGGCTGTCTGGAGGCCATCTTGTGGGCGTCTTGGAAGGATCTTTCGGCGACTCGGGGCCTCTTGGACCGTCTGGGCGGCGTGTGGGGCGCTCTGGGGACCTTGCGGGAACGTTGCCAGGTGTTTGCCGGGAGTCTTCCGGGTTTCGGCCAGTTTTTGTTCCGGGACTCCCAGAGGCCTCAATGCGCGCGCGCGAACCAGAAATAGTAAACGTGTCGCCGGAGATCTCAGCACGCCCCTAGCCCGTTGGGCCAGCGAATTCGCTGTAGTTTATTGAGCGGTCTGGAGTCCAGGTAGGGGACCCCAGAGGCTGAAATTGCCAAGGGCCTCGCGCAGTCTCTGTTTGCACGACGCGATGGGGTCTGGGGCCCATCGACCCATCGACTCGCGCAGGTACGAGAAGCTGCCCCCCTTGCTGCCCTGGACGTGAGGGCCCGGGCGGAGCGCGCCCGCTGGGGGGATCCGCCTGCGGCATGGGAGGACGAGGAGCGCTGGCTCCGGGCGCCGGGAGGAGGAGGAGGAAGGAGGAGGAGAAGGAGGAGGGTCGATGGGGGAGGAAGAGGAGGAAGAGGAGGAGGAGGAGGAGGAGGAGGAGGAGCAGGAGGAGGAGGAGCAGGAGGAGGAGGAGGAGGAGGAGAAGGAGGAGGAGGAGGAGGAGAGACCGATTGTGCATCGAAAACTTTCGGAGCTCCGGACATCGTATCTGGGCAGATCTCCGATCGGACGTGCTTCTTTTCGCAGGCGGTTTGTGTTTACCGCACCGCGCTGGCTTCTCTCGAGGCGTCGTCGATCGTCCAGGGCTCCCAGATGGGGTCGGAGTAGATTCGGGGTAGGTGGAGGGGGGAATGCTTCTTAGAAGCACCCCTGCTTCTTAGAAGGCGCGGGCCTTCTCTATAGATGTAAGGCCGGCGCCTTCTAAGAAGCAGCCTCCTTCTAAGAAGCCTTCCCCCTCCCCCTACTCACCTTTGAGCGCCGCCAAAAGATGGGGTCGGAGGATCGCACCGCATTGCCGATGCATCGCCGATGCGGCTCGATGTGGAACCCCATTTTCTCCACGCCGAGGTCGCCGTTGCGTGGCCCACGTCACCGGTGCATCGACGATGCATCGGCGATGTATCGCCGATAAATCGGCGATGCGGCGGGATCCTTCGACCCCATCTTCTTCGACCCCATCTAGGAGGCCTCTGGCGTTGGCGTCGCCCGAGGCGTCGTCGATCCTCGACCCAGCGATGGTACGATGCATAGTTTTTCGGCCCTCAGGGGCCGAACAGCTATGCATAGTACCGCGTTGGAGCGGGGCTCGAAAGGGAGTCCAATCACGGTACGGTGCACGGGCGCTGTCCTCGTATGATTGTGCCGGTCGGGGCGATTTTTCGGTATTTCGGCATTTGGGGGCCGCTTTCGGGCCCCGTGGCCATCAGAAACGGATATGGGGCGAAAAACGACCCCCCTGGGAAGGGGTCGGGAGATTTGAGGCCGCCGATGGGCAAATCATATTGGAGGAAGTCTGGGGTCGCAGGCTATTTCCGGACGACGCTGAGTCCACTTGGATCAGGGGCCCAGAATCCAGGACTTTGCAAGGGGTCGGGACTTTCGGGGGTGCACGGATCAAAACTTTGGAGCGCCCGATGTTTTGGTCATGGTTCTTTCCTGATGCTCTGGGGCGTCGTTCATGCGGCTGGAGGGTGGGGGATGACGCGCCGATCTGCGCCTCGTCGGGAGCCCTCTGAGCCTCGGGCGGAAATCATCTTCAACTATCTTGAGTCGTCTTGGAGGCCAGTTTGGAGCATCGGAGGCCCTTCTGGAGCCGTCTTGAAACATCTTGGGCGCTCTAACCCAACGCGGCCCGGCAACACAGTAGACCTCAAGGAGGGGAGGGTGAGGGTACCCCTCCCCGACGGGGAAAAGGGGTCGGGGAAGAATCGGGAAACAAGACCAGAACGCCAGGGCCAGCAGCAGCCGCGGGGGCGGACGACGCTTCGCGGCGGCCGCATGTGCGAGATCGGCGCTCTCGCCGGCGCGGCTCGAAAAGGGCAGTCCGAGCAATACTGCGGGGCCTGTGCGGCAGGTTCGCGCCCCCCAGCGCGGGCATGTCAGGCCGAGCGTCGCCCGTGGCCCAGAATCGGCCCACCGTTGAACGATCTGACGTTTCGGAACTGTCCGATCGTTCAGGGTTGAGCGATCCCCGCGGTGTCAGAAGCCAACGCCAAGGTCGGCACGACGCGAACCTGCCGTGGGCTTTCGGAGGTCCGCCCGGATTTCTTGCCTCGGCGCCGGACCCCTGGCGGCGCCCCCCAGCCTCGCCCTTGGCGCGCTCCGCCCCCCAGGGATGGGGCCCAGCGCCGACTCGAGGTATCCGCGCGGAGCTCCGAACGTTGAACACTATAGTCAACCCGCAGTGTCAGGAGGAGTGGCTTCCCAAGGCTACCCTTGCATCCTTCCCCTTCGGCCCATCTGTGGCCGCTTTCGCTGGCCGCGCCCTGCTCGCAAAGTGTCGACGTCGCCGTCCAAGGCCCTTGCATCCTTGTCGTGCGTCCCCATTCCACGAGTTGGCTGTATGCCGTGTCTTCTTCTAGGTGTGCAGTCCAAGGCGGGGGCTGCCCTCGGCTCGACGCTGGTAGAGGATGCTGGCCCGGGTTGGCGTGTTTGTGCCTCCTCCTTCTCCCTCCTGTTCTCTTCTTGTTCAACTCCGAGTAGAGGATCGACTACAGAGTCGATGTCCCCCAACATCGATTTTCCCGTCGAACCTTCGAACAGTACGTAGCATTCCACGCATTTTGCGCAGATTCGGCGAGCAAGTTAATTTTATGATGCATCGATTCTATAGTCGATCCCCTACTCAAACTCAAGCCGACCGCAGGGTAGCTATGGCTGTTGTTCTGTTCTGAGCCGCAAATTTTCCAGTCGCCCTCAGGCAGTGGAGATATTGAAATGATTGTCGTCTGATGTCCTCGATGGGGACCCCCTGGGATGGCCACAAGACGACCCACGAAGCCTCCAAGTCGGTCCAGTATATTCGACAAAGGGCACGTAGTTTGCGGCACGACCCGTGCATAAGGATGGGTCTTGGGGCTGTTTGTGGAGCTCCCCTATGGAACAGCATCCGCGTGAATGGTGTTCTGAACTGAGGTGGGGACGGTTTAGGGACGTGCTCGTTCGGGGCCGCATGTGGCGCACACTAGGGGGCACCATACGGTTGAAAGGCTTGCCGAATTTGTGCAGGGACGTTATAGGCGTGTTCATTGGGACATTCGTAGGACATCCCAATGGGCCGCGATCTTCATGTGGGGTGTACCGAATGCAGTTGGGCATGATGTTATAACGTGTTGGGGCTTGGGGGTCCTCCCCATTCTCGCTCCTCCTCCGCCTCCGTCCCTCCACTCCTCACTCATACGCAGTCGTCGTCCTCGTCCACCACCCGCACACGACTTTGCATGACATTCAGTTCAAGGAAGAGGAGGGGCAAGGAGGCTGAGGAGGAGGAGAACTAGGTTCAGGAGGAAGCTGTATAGGGACGTGCTCACTGGGGCCGTAGGTAGAGCTCCCTCGCATTAAGTTCATTCCGACAGCGCTCAAACGATCGGATGCCCGATTCGCGTGTCGATGGCCTCCGAGCCCGCCTAACAGAGCCTTTCGGCATCGTCTCGACATCACTTCTGGAGGCGGTCCAAGATGCAAGACGACAGGGTCAAAAGAGCGCTTTGGAGATGCCCGTTTCGCACGATCCGTGTGCCCATAGTTCTCTCCTGTGCATGTTCCAACATCGCGCCCATGTTTGATGCTAGAGGTGGTTTTGATGTTGTTACACCATAATGGGCAGCTCTCCCATGTAATGCGCTTCCTGGTGAGATTCGTTCATGTCAGAACGGTTCCCCGACGGCCCCGGGGCGATCCAAGACATCCAACGATCACATAACACGCCTCCTTGTCGCTCGCACCTGCTGTGGCCATTTGAAGTGAACACCCTGTCGGCCGAGCGCCCCGCCGGGCCCTCCGCTGGCTGGGTCCTCTCGGCGGCGGCAAGAGGGGCGGACAGCCAATGGGGCGGGCCTCACGCGAATTTGCCAGTGAGCCTCGCCGAAGACACAAGCGATCAGAGTCCCCAGATACGTGACATGCTTCCCCTGGGCTATCCGCCCCTGTTGCTGCCGCCGATCTTCCCCTCCCCCCTCCCCCCTCCTCCTCTTCGCCTCGCCCTCCTCCTCCTCCTCCTCCTCCGCCTCCTCTTGCTCCGCCTCCTCCTCCTCCTCCCTCCTCCTCCTCCTCCTCCGCCTCCTCCTCCTCCGCCTCCTCCTCCTCCTCCTCCTCCTCCGCTCCCCTCCTCCTCTCCTCCTCCTCCTCCTCCTCCTCCTCCTCCTCCTCCTCCTCCTCCTCCTCCTCCCTCCTCCTCCTCCCTCTCCTCCTCCTCCTCTCTCCTCCTCCTCCTCCTCCTCCTCCTCTCCTCCTCCTCCTCCTCCTCCTCCTCCTCCTCCTCCTCCTCCTCCTCCTCCTCCTCCCTCCTCCTCCTCCTCCTCCTCCTCCTCCTCCTCCTCCCTCCTCTCCGCCTCCTCCTCCTCCTCCTCCTCCTCCTCCTCCTCCTCCTCCTCCTCCTCCTCCTCCTCCTCCTCCTCCTCCTCCTCCTCCTCCTCCTCCTCCTCCTCCTCCTCCTCCTCCTCCTCCTCCTCCTCCTCCTCCCCCCCAATCCCCCCCTCCGCCCCCTCCCCCCTCCCCCCCCCTTCCCCCTCCCCCCTCCCCCCTTCCCCTCCTCCTCCTCCTCCTCCTCCTCCTCCTCCTTCTCCTCCTCCTCCTCGCCAAGCATGGCGCCTGCCGCGGCGCAGCGGCGCTTCCTCGTCGCCACGGCCTTCGACACGCGCTACGAGGTTCGGCGGCGAGCTGGGCAGGAAGTGAGAGGGGGCAGGCCCTCTCAGACGGCGGCGGGGCTTCTCAGAAGCCCTCCAGCCCTCTGAGAAGTACTCTGGGCCTTCTCCGGCCACAGGGACGGCCTCTCAGAGGGCTGGATGGCTTCCGAGAAGCCCCGCCGCCTTCTGGCCTGCTCTCTCTCTCTCTCTATTCCCCCCCGGGCTCGCCGCCGAGAGGTCGGCTACCTGTGCTCCACCGTGAACGAGGCCTACTGCCAGAAGCATGGCTACGAGTTCCGGCGGGTGCTGCCGGCGCCGGAGGACATGGCCGCCCTGGCGGGCGGCAGGCACAGCGCCTGGGCAAAGGTCGCGCTGATGCTCCACCTGCTGGGCGGCGACGTGCCCGAGGGCGCGCGGCGCATCGCGGGACCCGCGGCCGCGGAGGGCGTGGAGTACGTCGTCTGGGTGGACGCGGACGCCATGTTCCTCGACCACGACAGGAGGCTCGAGCACTACGTGGATGCCGCGCACGGCGCGGACTTCGTGATCGGGGAGGACATGGCCGACACCGACCTGCTGAACACTGGCCTGTTCCTCTGCCGCGCCGGCTGCGCGTGGGCCCGGGAGCTGCTGGCGAGGCTGGGAGGAGGAGAAGGTCCCCATACCGCTACCCTTCGCCCGTGTTTCCCTTTCCGGCCTCCTGGGAGGCACTCGTCGCCACCGAGTGATACGCTGCGAAGTTCTGATCAGAACGACCCCCAGGAGAGGTCCTGGGAGTAGCAGTATCGGTACCTCTTGGTTTCCCCAGAGGTGGTGGAGGGACAGCGATCCCAGGTGAGCGACGCAAAGAAACGGGGTTGTCTGCGCCGACATTGGCGCGTAAGCGTCCCGAGTAATGTCTGTCGCACGGGTGCGCCCTCGTCTCCAATGCAGCGTGCCACGCCGGCAGGCCGCGTAAGCCACCGCGTAAGATTGTTATGCCATCTCGCGTAAGACTCCTTGCTTGTCGCCGCCTAGGTGGCACCACGAGGTCTGCTGGGACCAGACGGGTCTCTGCCGCCTGTTGGAGGAGGAGGACGGGCTCGGCAAGGTTCCGCCGTGGTTCAGTTGGAGCGGAGGCACCCGACGAAAAGCATGCGGCGGCCACACGTTCGTCTTCGACTGCGGCTCCTTCAACTTCAAATACGTCAACAACAGCGGCTTCGTTTTCCACGCGGTGGGTGAGAGGGAGCTCCTCTTCTCGTTCTCGAGGTCCCTGTCCACGAAGCGCGAGAGGATCTACGGCGCCGTGCAGGAGGGATTCGTGAGCGGAGGCGTGGACTTCGAGCGGCAAGGCACCCCAGGCAGCGGCCCTTCGCGCGGGAGCGCCCACGACGCGCTGCGCGACGCCCACCTCTTCTGGCAGAAGTTCGGCGTCGGGCGGCGGGGGGCCGAGGGACGCCACCCGCCCCTCTGCTGGGCGCCGCCGCCGCCGCCGCTGCCAGCTTCAGGAGGGGACAGAACACACAGACACACTGAACCGTCGATCCCCAGGAACATGGGAAACCATGGGCAGGGCGAAGGGGGGGGGGGGACGAAGACCCAGGACACAGGGGGAGATCTGGGGAGTCCTGGGATCTGTGCCTACGTATGCCTTTGTGTGCCCCTGGGCCCCTCTACAGCTGGCGCCGCACCGGAGTGCAACGCCGCCGCCGCCGGTCCCAGCGGGGTCGCGGAGGCGATGCGGCACCACTTCGCGGGGGGCGCGTCCCCGCTCGTGCTCCGGGGCGGCGCGGGCCTGCTCGTCGGGGAGGAGGCGCGGCGCGCCGCGGAGCCGCGGGAGCTGGCGCGGCGGCTCGGCGGCGCGAGCCTGGTGCTGCGCTGCTGCGCCCCCCCGCGTGCCACGGACGTGGTCGGCGGGCGCCCCGCGCACACCGCACAGGTGGCGGGCAAGGTGTACATCCAAAATCACCGAGCGCGTTCCGCTGCTCGCCGAGCGTCTACTCGCAGACGTCCGAGACAGAAACACGCGTGCTGGCCGCGGTGTCATGGACGGTCGATCCCCCGCGGCGGGTACAGGCCTATGTGCGAGTAGCTACCTTGCGAGTAGCGGAGCGCGCTTGTCTACATAATGCAGGATGCTGATTCAGAAATTCTTGATGCTTCGCGTATCCTCACCTGCCCCGATCTTCCAGTGTCGGATAAGTTGCGTACGCACTGGCCACAGGCTGGAAGTGACGTTCAAGAGCGGGCAGACCCGACGTCTACGACAGTGAGTCACCGTGAGTGAGGCCCCCTCTGTGCCGCCGTTCCCCTTTTTCCTGTCGTTTGGTGCCCGTCTGGCGTCCGCAGCGACTCTCCCGCTTCCTCTTGCCTCGCTTCCGTGCGTCTCGGCCGGAGTTTGGCGCCGACAGGGCGGCTTGTCCGTGCTGCTACAGTACGGTCCGTGCTCCGTGCCTCTTCTTGGTGTGTGGCTCGGCAAGAGCTTGGCGCCGTAACGGCGACTCCTCCTATCCGTCCGCCGCCGGTGCCGCGCTTGCGTCCCCATCCGCTGGGATGTCTGCGCCGGTCCCCCACAATGAGGGTCATTTTGTCCCTGGCATGTGCACTCGCCTCAGCGGCCTACGTGCCTCTGCGGCCAATGATCTAGCTCTGTGCCCCAGGCGTGAATCCCGCCTTTTCGCGGCGCCTTGGAGCCGCGAGCCAAAAAGCGTATCCTCACCGGCATCCCTGGATCTCGTACCCGGGCTTCGGCCATTCCCTGTCCTCCCCTACCTCTCCAGGTGGCCTAGGTGGCCCCCTCCGCCTGGAGGGCCCGTGATGTCTGTCCCCACCGGCCCTCCCAGCGGATCCCCCCCTGACAGGGCGGGCTGCCTGGTTCACGTCCCCCTGGATCGCGGGGGTGATCGCCCTCAGTGCAGCTCCTCCTTGGATTCCCCTGCCTCGCTGGCGATGTTCATCCCCGCCAGCCTGGCCTATCACATGCAGTGCGTTAGTGTCCGCGTTCTGAGCAGCTGGTGGCTGGGGTCTGGCCCTTGGGGTACTCCACAGGGCCTTCCCGCGTGCACGGGATGGTGGACCTTGGAGCCCTGTGGACGCTTCGGAGTGGTTCAGCCTTCCGCAGTCGCGGCAGCTCCCTTGGACCCATCCCATCCGTCAGGCAGGTTTGCGACGTCGCCTCGGCAGCTCAGCCCCATCAGCTCGTATACGCCGCTGGGACGGCCCTGGGCTTGGCGCCCCGCTGGCGAATCGTTCACCTCGCCAGCGCGCCTACCACGTCCTCGCGCTGTCTGAGTGGGTTACGCCTCACGGCATACACAGAATTTCCTGGCATTTTGCTAGGCTGCGCGTGCCCGAGCTTCCCTGGATGCCCTCAGCCTGTCAGCTTTCCCGCGCAGCCCCGCTGCTGCTTGGTGAGTGGGCCGGCCGGGCATCGGCGCTCCCGGTAGCCAATTCGGCCGTTACCGTGTCCCGGAACGGTTCAGACTCCGCCTGCGCTTTCGCTCACGGGCGCGACCGAAACAAATATCCTCACCAGCCTGGCCCTTTGGGGTTATGAGCGCCAGTTCATTCAGGAGTGGTACAGCCTTCTTGTACGGATCTGCGCATCCCCCGTTGGCCCACTGTCGCTGGACTTTTCGTGGTCCCGCACTTCGCACCGTCTGTGGCCCTGACCCTTGGCGCCGGGTGGCGACAAGGTCCTGTTGCGTACCTGGTGATCTGCTCCCATGGTACCCACACCGGGTCCGAGAGTGCTTGTACCCATCCGACTCTGTTCTCCTGTTTGCGTGCTGGCGGGCTTGGGTTTTTGACCGTCAGGCGGTGCAGCCTCGCTGGTCTGACGCATGATCGGTATCCTACAGCCCAGACCACGACGTCTCCTGGCGTGCAGGTTCAATTCGCCCTGATTTTCCGTCTGGGGCTCGCACGTGTGCAGCTTGCATCCCTGGCCGCTTGCAGCCAGCTCAGCCAGCTCCGCTTCATCCAGCTGCCCACCCGGCGGTAGGTTCTGATCCCGCGCTCGGTCGCTGTATTGTATGCTTAGGCTCGCGCGTAGCCCGCTCGACCTCTTCGGACGCCTCCTGCGCTTTCGTTTGCGGCCGCGACACAAAAAGTATCCTCACCAGCCCAACCGCTGACGACCCTTGCCCTGGTGCAACAATCCCGACCCCCCCCCCCGCGTGAGACCAGCGCAATAGGCACCTCCCTGGCCAGCACGGGCGACGACGCCGCCGCCCACGGAGACGCCGCCTCCGACCTCGTTGGCTGGCTCTCCCCGGGGTCGCAAAGAGGCACCCGTCGCCCTGTCCCCGACCCCCAGCTCGGAACCGACGGTGCTGCAGGTCGACTTCCTCGGCAGTCCCGAGGCGACGGACAGGCCCTGCAGCCCCACGTCCACTGCTGACGGCCCTTGCGCCAAGACGACAGAAACCTCAAGCGCCTACCTGAGCGCAGGGCCCCGCCATCCCCCAGCATCCCCCGGCAGCCCCGGGCGGCCAATGCGGTGCGATGTGGGTACGACTGGGGCGAGGACTGGGGTGAGCGCCGCCCACGGCGGCATCACGAGGCCAGCCGCAGCAGCCGCAGCGGCCCCTACAGCGGCAACTGGCCAGGTTGGTCAGGGTGGTCCAGCTGGGAGGCCGGCGACCGTTGGAGTCGGTCTGCGCGTGCCCACACACACTCCGTCTCCGATGACCCCCCTACACCTCGGTCTGGCCCCTGGCCTTCCTACGAGCGTGCACAAGCAGACCTCGCACAGGACCTAACTGACCCACTCATTGGCCTCTACATCAACATGACTCCACTGGATCGCATCGATCTCAGTAACCCCCCTGGCGAGACTCCGGCCGAGACCGTGAAACGGCTCCAGAGGGACCTTGGGAGTACTTCGACGGGATATGGCACCAGTGGGCGACCAGGAGCCCACCAAGTCTGGCCACGCTGCGGTCCGTACTCGGTTCAATGAAAGGATCAAGGGCAAGGGCACCTCAGGCAAAGCCAAAGGCAAGGGATCCCGGGAGGGCAACGATTCCAGCTGGACGCGAACGGTGGAACCTCGGCGGTCCTCGAGCTCGCGCCAGCCTTGGGTGTTTTCTTAAGTCCCAGTCCAGGCACCACGGGCGCAGGCACGCCACTATTGCTCTCCTGGCCATGGGCGCCCCGCGCTGTACATCAGTGTGTCTCACGGAGCCCCATCCCCCCCGACCGCATGGGTTTGGTCGGTTTCTCCAGCGCACTACCCTTGCTGTGCGCCTAATACCGCCTTGGGCGCGCCCAGCTGGGGCTGATGGCTCGTCCCAGGCACCCTGGAGTCCTTGCTGGGACCTCACTTTGCGGCCCCTTCCCTCTTCGATGACTGCCGCCCCCCCCCTGACACGCCTTAGGCGAAGCCGGGGGTTGGCCCCTTCCCTGGCGGGCCTCCAGTACTGCCAGAGCCCCCGTGGCGCCACTTGCAGCCCAGCGCTGCCCTGCACGACGGCGTTTGGCTCTCATCGTCCCCCCGGCAACGAGGGCCCGCTCACCGCTCTGCAGACCACTCGCCCTGGCGGCTCACGCCCACCATGGGTCCTGCAAGTTGCGGGCCACCATCCCGGGTACTTCACTCTGGCCGCGGCTGCTAGCTGCTTTCCCAAGCCCGCCCTCCGCCCGCCCCCTTTCGCCCCGCCCCCACGGTCCGTTCCCCCTCGTTCCCGCGCCCTTGTCCCCACTCCCCTCTGCCCCCTATGCTGGGTGCGGCCCCCGCCGCCTGGCTAAGTTAGCGCCCCCCGTCCGCCCCCGGTCCTCCGCCCCCCGCGTTCCCCTTGGCTTTTGACACTCGTTTCGCGGCTGTTGGCTGCGTTCGCCTCCTCCTCTGCGGCTCGTCGCCGGTCCCCCTCGGCCGCCCCCCGTCCGTCCCCTGGCCCCCGTCCCCACGCGCCCCCTGTCGACGGTCCTCTCAGCGGCGGGTGCCGCCACCCTTCGCCCGCCCTCCGCCCGCCCCCCTGTCCCCGCCCCCTCCGGGCTTTTCACTGTCTCTGCGGCTGTTCAGGTGCGTTCTTTCGCCCACCGTCCGTCCGCCCCCGCGCCCCCGTCCCCCGTCCCCCGCGCACCTTCGCCTCGTGGTCCCTGGCTTTCGCGGCGGTTGTTCGCTTTCCTGGTTCGTCCTGGCCCGTCCCTCCTCCTGCGGCTGTCCCCCCGCAGGAGGTAGGTGTCCGGGCTCACCCACTGTGCGACCGTGGCCCTCGGCCCCCAGCGCTCCCCGCATCCGCTGGCAATTCTCCTCGGTCCTCGGCGCCCCCCCGGGGCGCCGGGGCCGGTGCCAGCAGGCACCGCTGCGGATAGCTACCCTGCTGGACGGGCCTTCGTCGTGGCCCTCGGCCGCTGGACAACACCCATCTGTTCGGGGGCCAGGACTCGCCCCGTGGTGCGCCGCTTGTTCGGCCAGGACAGGTTGCCGACCAGGCGTCCCCTGGATGCAGTCCGTCACCCCCAGCGCTGGCCCCACGCCATCATTGACGGCCCGCTCGCCCACGTGGAAGGGGTCACACGGCACCGTGCTTCACGACTGCGGTGGGTTGCTGGTTCTACGGTCGGCACCTGCAGACCCATCGCCGAGGAAACGTTTGATGACATCAGTGAATGACGTCATCGCAATGTGGGCGCCGTCGAATCCACAGCCACCGTGGCCTGCTACCGGGCCTTCGCCTGGTTTTCTGATCAGCGGTTGAGCCCGCCCCCGTCGCCCCCGCCGCTTTGATTGCAATTTTTCCCGCCGCTTGTCAGCTGCGCGCGTTCGGTTCCGTTTTAGGCCATTGTATTGTAGGTCGCTGCGTGTCTGCAATTTCCAGACGACGCGCGGCTCCTCCGTTTGCGCTCGCGAACAACAAAGTATCCCCACCAACCCATCCAGAAACGGTCATCATGGGAGTCAGTGGGTCAGGGGCGGCAAGACGCATGCAGTTGCGCAGCTCTGATCGGGAAAAAGGATCGCAAAGGGCCTCCCGCGTTGAAGTTTAAGATGGGAACTCCGAGCAACCTACGATGGTGCTTCGATGAGGGGTGAGGTGTGTTTCGATGACTCGTGATGGCTGCTGCGCTGAATTGTACCTTAAAACGCGTGCGTTTCGAAACTTGGAGACATCTTGGGGCTCTCTTAGGGGTTCTCTTGGGGCCCTCTCTGGGGCCCTCCTGGAGCTCTTTCTCGAGGCTGTCCTGAGGTCCTCTCAGGGCCTTCCTCTTGGGGCTCTTTTGGGGCGTGTTGGGGCCCTCTTGGGGCTTTCTTGTGATGCTTGATGGGCCTGTTGGGGCCGTCTTGGGCCCCTTCGCCCGAAGTAGAGGGGGGGTTCGAATTCCCATCGCCCCCTCGGAGGCTCAAAAATGCCGTCTTGGGGCCCTCTTGGGCCGCTCTTGGGGCGGTCTTGGGCGCTCTTGGGGCCGTGTTGGGGCCCTCTTGGGCCCCCCGTGGGGCTATCTTGGGCCGTCTTGGGGCCATGATGAGGCTTCAGGAGCCCATCGGAGGCGAAAAGGCGAGAAGGAACACCACATCATTTCGTCGTTCGTTTTTTGACGGATTTTGGCCTCTAGGGGAGGGTTCGGAGGGCACTTGGGGCCTCTTGGACGTGTGTCGGAGGCTGTATTGACCCATCTACCGGTATCTTCGACCATCTTGGAGGCCATCTTGCGCTCGTTGAAGCCCTCTTGGAGCCATCTTGGACGCTGCTATGGGTCGCCCCCCCCCCCTGTCCAAACCCATGGAGGGGGGAGGTAAACCTCCCAAGCAGGGAAAGGAAGGAGGTTGGAAAATGGAAACGCTCTAGATCATCTGCGCCCAAAGGGTTGGTGGGATTGTTGGGGGTCGTGCTCACGCGGCGGCGCCCAGGATGATGATGCTGATGATGATGATGCTGCTGCTGATGACGATGATGAAGATGATGCTGATGATGATGATGCTGATGATGATGATGATGATGATGATGATGATGATGATGATGATGGTGATGATGATGATGCTGAGGGTGATGACGATGACGGTGGTGATGGTACTGATGATGCTGATGATACTGCTGATGCTGGTGCTGATGGCGACGACGATGGTGATGATGATGATGTTGATGGTAGTGATCATGATGTTGATGATGGTGGTGGTGATGATGATGCAAATGAAGATGATGACGATAATGCTGATGCTGATGCTGATGATGATGCAGATGCAGATGCAGATGCTGCTCCTGGTGATGATGATGAAGAAGAAGAAAACGGGGCCCCAGCTGGGAAGCTGCTCTGTAATAGTTACCCCCGGCTCTCCTCGGGTTCGCGCCTGGACGGTCCGGGGGCCAGACGGAGCCGAAGCGAAGCGGGAACCGAAGATTCCAAAACCATGTTGTTACGACCAGCGCGCCCAGTAAGGACGCGCGCTTTCATCTAGGGTGCAGTGGAGGCCTATGCCAAGAACCACCCTGCGTGCCTCCAGGGTGCCTTTGGTTTCTTGGGTTTCGATGCGAAGCGTGACGTTCCTAGGGTCTCAGGGTTGGGTTTCCTGTGGAAGGTTTCTTGTGGAATGGCCTCCAGTGTACCCTTATCATTGCCTCTGCGGCCCGTCCTCCACTTTCCCTTGTCCTTCCCTTCGGCCTCCAAGGGTCTTTCGTCCTTACCACCCGTCCTTGATACGCGTTTTGACTGTAACCGTCATCTTGCATTATCTACTGCATCTTGGAGTTTCGGGCTCCCTCCCCCAGAAACCCGAGGGGCAGTGGATGTGGATGAGAAGTCTGGTCCCATATCAGCAGAGGCTCGATTTCTGTCCATGTCCACTGCCACTGCGCCTGGGCCTTCTGGCGTCCCCTCCCAGCAAGTCCAAGACGCACTGGACGTGGACAGCATTCTTGCCCCCACAGGTGTGGCAGCTGTGGGAGTACCTGCGGGGACGAGCGCCGCCGCTCGGCCCGCTGCGCTTCCTCGACCAGCGGTGGCCGTGGCGCGCCTACGGCTGGAGGCCGCCGCTCGGGGGGGACGCCGAGGCGCTCCGGCGCTGGCAGGCGGGGGCGCCGGCCGCGGCGCTCGCTGCGGCCGGGGGCCTGAGAGACGCTGGCGCCGGGCCGTGCTTGGACGTGGAGCCGCCCGGCGCGGTGACCAGGCTCCACCGCGCCGAGGACGGGGCGCACGAGCTCGTCGCGGTGCTGAGCGGAGAGAAGGACCAGTAGCTTTAGGACCGATCCCCACCCCCATCACGATCCCCGCCATCCCTCAGAGGAGGAAAGGGTACCCATGCCGCTAGCCTTCGCCCCGCTCTCCTCTTTTTCGGCCTCCAGGAAGGCCTTCGTCTTCACCGCTGGATTCGCCTCGAAATCCTGGTCCGAACGCACCCTGGGAGAGGTCCGGGTAGCAGTGGTATCGGTACCTTTTGGTGCCCCCAGTCCCACCTTTCCAGTTGGGGATCAGCCCCCTCGACACCCGAAGGGAATAGCCTGTATATCATCCCCATCTGGGGGGAGAAATCGGGGCCAGTGGGGCCCAGGCCACGCCAGTGGGGATCACTTCACTAGGCATCGGTGGAAAGGGTGCTCCAAGGAGTGGCTGCTGTACCCGCCGGAGGACTCCGATCGACTGCTCCCTGGCTGGGGCCTGTGCGATCCGTGGCAGAGCCCCGTCAACCCCGCGGCCGAGCAGCCTCCGCTGGGCGCGGCGCCGCGGGCGGCGCTGCTGGGCGCCGGGGACGTGCTGGTGGTGCCGCGCGGCTGGTGGTGGTGGGCGCGCACGCGCGCCGCAGGGGTCACCCTGCGGCAGAGCGTGGTGGACGACGGCTGCGCCCGGGAGGTCGCGCAGGCGCGGCGCGCACGCGAGGACGAGCGCCGGGCGGCCGCGGAGGAGGGGCCCGCACTACTGCAGCAGGTGCGCGGCGCGGTGGGCGAAAGAGGCGGGAACGTCGCTTGGCTTCGCTGCGGGAGCTGACCAGCTTGAAACATATCCCTATCCCCATGGTTGGCATCACCGTAGCTCGATGCCGATCTGAAGGCTTCCCTCAGTTTCTGAGGGCGCATTCGTAAGGTTGGCATCGCCTCTGGGCTTGTCAACCTCAGGGGTCGGGATGAGCTCGAGGCTGGTCAGGAGCGGACCGGCAGCGGCGAGGGGCCAGTACGTCGCCCTGCACTTCGCCACGTACGCCGAGGGGGCGGAGCTGGTTGAGTGCTCCCGCGGCGGACCGCACCCGTGCGTGGTGGAGGCCCAGGCATCGCGGGAGGGATCCGTGAGTCCAGCAGTGGCCAGACGTCCTGGCTTGCCTACAGGTCCACCAGAGAAAGTTCTGAATGCCTCATGTGAGCGGCGCAGAAAAGCGGGGTCGTCTGCGCCGACGTTGGCGCGTAAGCGTCCCGCGTAAGGTCGCGCGTAAGCGTCCTCGTCACCAATGTGGCGTGCCGCGCTGGCGGCCCGCGTAAGCCACAGCGTAAGGCCGCTTCTCGCGTAAGACCCTTCTTTAATCGTGGGCCATATGGTTTGCACAGCATGTTCTTATCACATTTCTGGTTTGGGCAGTATTGCCTTGATCCATGGGTTTTATGTTCTGAGAACCTTTCTGTTGTCATGCGCACATTGTTTTGTTCTGCAAACCTTTCGCGGTAGTCCTACAGGAGTGTCGGGACGGTCGGTCCTTGCGCAAGCCGGGTAGGCCTAGGGCGATGAACCATCGTTCCAGAGCGGCGTTCGAAGAAGCGGCGGCGCCTCTGGTGTCGCCTCGGGGGGAGCCAGCGCCGGCCCAAGAGATCCGCGCGGACCTCCGAACGTTTATGCTTACGCAGTTGTTCTTCATCCAGAGTTCTTGGCCGCTCTCGGAGCGTTCCAGGGTGCTCTGAAACGGCCGTGACACCCGCTACATCACCAGGGCCTGCCAGCTCCGAGCGAGTCCAGACTTATCCTGACCTGAGCAGCAACAACAAAACTGGTTCGTCTGCGCCGATATGGACGCGTAAGCCATTCGCGCAACGGCGTAAGGTCGGCGTAAGCGCCTTCGTTTCCAATCTAGAGTTCCGCGCTGGCGGCCCGCGTAAGCCACCGCGTAAGGTCGCTATGCCATCTCGCGTGAGCCCCGTTGCTTTTCGTCGCCCAGCTGCACCACCACCTCTCAGGAGGAGAAACTAGACACAGACACGCATGAACGTCGATTCCCAGGAGAATGCTGGAAAACATAGGAGTTGGAGGGGAAGGCGAACGAATATACAGGGAAGCCTGGGAGTCGTGCCTATTTATTTGTATTCCTGGGCCCCTCCGACCTCTCCTGGCCACGTCCGTCCTGGACCGCGTGGTGCGCAGGTCTGCCCCTCCCCCCCCTGGAGGGAAAAATCGAGCAGCGGATCGACTTCAGAGTCGATTTTCGAGGAGGAGGAGGAGGAGCAGGAGGAGGAGGAGAAGGAGGAGGAGGAGGAGGAAACGGAGGAGGGGGAGGAGGAGGAGGAGGAGGAGGAGGAGGAGAGGAGGGGAGGAGGGGAGGAGGAGGAGGAGGAGGAGAAAGATTTGGAGGGCCAGCTCACGTCGGCTTTGGCATTGCTCGGACGAGAGGTGTTTCTGTTCTCGGCGAGGACCATCGAAGAGCTTTTTGAATCCCAGAGACCTGGTCAAACACATCATGGTTGTCCATTCGTAATTGGGGCGGACCAGGCGGCCCAAGCACAAGTAGCCCAAACGGGCGGTTTCTTTTCAAACATGTTTGTTCCCCCAAAATGTGCGGACTCGATGCAAACAAAGGGGCTGAGGAGGAGGCGGAGGAGGAGGAGGAGGAGGAGGAGGAGGAGGAGGAGGAGCAGGAGGGTGGTGGTGGTGGTGGTGGTGGTGGTGGTGGTGGTGGTGGTGGTGGTGGTGGTGGATAGTGGGAAGGAGGGACGGATGGACGGAATTGTGGACGCTACTCGCCGCCGAGGCGCCCGGATGAGGAAGAACGTGCCCATTCCGCCATTTTTCCTTCCTCATTTTCCCCTTGTTGGCCCCCATCGGAGGCCCTCGTCGCCACGGTTGGATTCGCCTCGGAATTCCGGTCAGAACGCATCCCGGAGTCGCGGTATCGGTATTTGCTTGTCTGGTTGCCTCAGAGACGGGGGCCGGTGCAGCAAGGGAGACTTCGTTGAGTCGAGCGCCAGACTCAAACGGCAATTCCTTGTTCGGCGCCCTGTTTCTCATCTTTGTTGGCCCGCTGCTCTGCCCCGGCGCAAGGCCTGATCAGCGCACCGTCGTGCCCGCCTTGGACTCGCGTTATACACTCCGTCTTTAGACCTTCATACGCTGTGCTTCCCTTGCAGAACACACCACTTCCCTTCTTACATCCTCATTTGTAGTCTCGTCCTCTTCCGCCTCCTCCTCTTCCTCATCTCCCTTTGTTTTCCTCCTCCTCCTCGTCCTCCTCCTTCGTCTCTTCCTCCTCCTCCTCCTCCTCCTCCTCCTCCTCCTCCTCCTCCTCCTCCTCCCCCTCGTCCTCGTCCTCGTCCTTCGTTTCTTCCTTCTCCTCCTCTTCCTCCTCCTCCACCTTGTCTCCTCATCCTCCGTTCATGCTCCTCCTCCTCCTCCCGATCCGTTGTCGCTCTGTTCTTGGCCTCGTTGTCGCGGGTGCCCTCCCGCGCGCAGGCGCCCGCGAGCGGCGAGGACGCACTCGCGCGCGCGGGGCTGGCGCGGGCGCCGCTGGCGTTGCGCGAGGTCTACAGGCGCGGGCTGCTCTGCGCCCGCGAGGCGCGCGCGGGTGCCCGCTGCGGCTTCCTCGCGGCCCCCGCCGGGCAGCGGCGGTCGGTCTTGGCCGTGGTGGTGGACATGGTGGAGGTGCCCGTTCGGTGGCACAAAGCTGGGGTCCTGAGGGGTGGGGTCCTGGGGATATCAGGCGACCGCAAACATGGATTGAGGGGGCGTGGATTAGCCACGGGTCCAGGTTCCATGGGAAATTGCGTAGTTGTCCGCCGCCCAGCGAGGCGGCACCGGCCCCATTTTGGGGAGGGCACCTCCCACGATCCATGGATTTGGCGACCGCGCGACAAGTCCATGGATCGCTAATCCATGTTTGCGCGCCCCCCCGAGGAAATGGGGGTATCCAGGGGTAGGTTTACATCGTTCGAGGCGCCTCGAAGCAAGTCGCTTGGAGCCGCGTGGGGGGGTCCGAGGTGGCGCAGCACCGGTTGCGGCCAGGGGGAGGTGGAGGGCAGGTTCGAGGATCTGGGTTCGAAGAGGTGGTTTGCCTTGTTCGGCTTCTGGGGGCCGTCAAAAGCGGATCCAGGGCGAATAACTGCACGAGATGGGCCCCGGGAGGGTTCGGGGAACCGATTTTAAACGGATTTGGCCTCATCCCCCTTCCTGACCGATTCTGGGTTACTAACCAGTTCAGGCTGTCCACCCGCTTGCCTCGAACATACGACGCGTCCCGTCGGCTCCGTCGCGGAAGTCCCCCTGCATCGCTGTCGGAGCTTCTGCGCACCCGTGCCGCATGGACTCTCCAGTGTGCCATTGATTCAGTGCGCGCACGTTTTGCATTGCTCAGGGCTTCTCGTGGGCGGAAAACATATCCGTATCCGCGGCCTCGCGGGCTGGGCCGGCGGTCCGCGACCCCGCTGATACGGCACGTTTTCCCGCGGATGCCCTGCGTGGAACGTATCCGTGCGACCGCGTGTCCGCGAGAATACGCCCCAGATTCCAGACCGCGAGAGTGTGGATATGGATACGCTTCCGATCGTGATGTGCCTTGGGGAGGGGCACCTCGACTATGAAACGTCTGCATAAGCGTATGAATTCAGGGCAGGAAAAGGTAACGATACCGCTCCTTGTCCTGGGGAGCCCTCGTCGCCACGGCTGGATTGTCCTCGAAATTTTGTTGAGAACGCACCGCGGGGGAGTTCCGTCGTTGTCGTGGATGTGGACATCGTGGAGGTGCCCCCGGAAGGGGCACCTCTCAGGGGCAACGTTGGGGGGATGGGGTTTTGAAGAAGTCCAGGGTAGTTCCCATCAGCTGCGCCTCGTCGAGGGCGTTCGAGTGGTATCGAAACCGTTCCGCACGGTCGCCACAGAGCCGAGTCATGGCGCAGAAAGCAAGGGGCAACGACAGAGGGGGAAGGGGGATAGGCTCAGGGGGGGCATGCATCGCCCCCCGATCGCCCATTCATCGTCGACGGGCCCGATAGCCCTGTCCCGCCCAGGAGCGTGCGGAGGAGGAAGAAGAAGAAGAATCAGAAAATGAAGAAACAGAAGTTGACGAAGAGGAGGAAACACATTTGCGTCAACGTAAAAGCTTTCAGAGGTCTGTGCTGATTCCTCGAATCGGCGCTGGGACCCCCTTCCCTGGTGCTCGGAGCGGGCCAGGGGCACCGCCGTAGGCGCCGCCCGGGGTCCAGCGCTGATCGCGGCGACCCTGGCGCGGCTTTGCAGGTCGAATGCTACCAGTGGCCCGGAGTCGTCTGACATCGAGCGATCCGCGCTATCGGGAAGCCACGATCGCCCGAGGTTGAATGATCCACGCGGTGTGAGAGGCCAGCGCCGACGTCGTTTCGACACGAACCTTCCGTATGCACGTGTATTTTCTCTCGCCACCCTTCCACGTCTGAGCGCTTCCCCCCTCCCCTCGCGCGGCCGTCCTCATCTTCTTTCCTTCCCCTTGCGCGCAGGACACTTCGCTTTCGGGTTGCCCCGATTCGCCTCGCGCTGGTGCGGACTGCCTCCGCATCGCCGCCGACGAGAAGCAGTTCTCGTCCGCCCCCCTCCTTGGGCCACGCTTCGTCCGGGATGGTCGCCTCAGAGAAGTGCCCGGGGGCGGCCCAGCACGCGGCAGCGCCCTGGGGTGGCCGATGCGGCGACGGGGCTCCGTGCCTGCTCGTGGGCGTCGCCGCCAGTCGATACGAGCGGGAGGGGTATGGGAAGAGTGCTCTCCGAGGCGGGCGTGCACACACGACTCAAGCAGTGGCGAAGGGTCCTGGCTCGCCCATACGTCCACCAAGTGATGTTCTAAGAACTGTTCGTGGTCTGCACGAGAGGTTCTTAGAACATGTCATTCTAAGACTGTCTTGTTTTAACACATCGGGTGAATGTCTCAAGAATATTGTTTTTGTTGTTAGAGCACTTTTGGGTTCTAAGAACCTTTCGTGGTAGGACTATAGGAATTCTTGGGCGGTCGGTCCCTGCGCACATGACCGCCGCCTGGGGATCAATTTTCGGGGACCTCGGCAGGCGTTGGATGTGGATATATTCGGGCGCCAAGGGGGCAAGATATGTCCATATCCACCGCCCGCTTGGCCACCAGGGCGTCGGTTCCCAGGCGGTGGACACGGATAGATCCCCGCATCGCAAATGAGGACGAAAACCGACAGCAGGTCCTGACCATTTTGAACAGGGCTCGATGCTAGTGTCGCTGCGGGCCATTCATCCATTGAGGCACAAGGTAGCCTGTCCAACACAGGCTGCTGTCGGTGTTGGGCAACATCTGCTGCTTGGCATTTGTGAGATGGTGCATGTGTCACGTGTGTATATGCACCACTCGTTGCCGTTTGACCTCTAGGGGCCCGTTTTTGCCATTGCGCTCAAACGCATCATAACCACACTGGTAGCGGAGCTGCCACATGATCCCCGTATCGTACCAGTGCGCGCACGTGTCATCAGAGAGTGTCGCACTACGTCTCTGTACTTTCTGTGCTGGTAGTTTCGCTCGCTAGGGGGCTGATCCTTGCGCCATGGCACTTTCTTCTCTTCGCTATCGGCCGAGCGCCGACGCGCTGACGCGGTCCGAAACGAATAGTGGCTCCTACATCTACGACGGCACGGCGCGTTCGATATTGGCATGGATGTCGATAGTGACGTGTCTCTGACTCCGCGCGGGATCGATCAGGTGGCGCTGGCGGTTCGTACTTCACTCTTCCCCGTAGAGGCGCAGGAAGCGAGGATCCTGTTCCAGGTGGGACAGGCCACCGTCCCCGCAGCACGGTGAGTCTATTGTGTTTTGCATCTCCCGAAGGAAGCGTTGGTGGGAACCTATCTCCAAGTTAGATCTTGACATGTTGATGAGCGACGATGTGTTTGGCTCCCGTCCCTTGGACCGTGAAGGCAACTCGCCTTCGGAGAATCTGACGGTGTTGGCATCCACGGGGAATGCGACGACCTTCGGCAAGATCTAACCCGCCGCGATCGCCCAGCTCGGCCGCGTACGCATCCGCCAAAAAGGCAACGGTGAGGTTGGCCAAGAGGCTCCAGCTCTTCGACGAGGACGCAGCCCCGGCCCAACTACCAGAACAGGAGCTGGGTTCCTGTCCAGGATAGCAGCGAGCTCGACGTCGAGGTGGCCGACGAGATGGTCGAGGCTGGATGCGCGGAGGAAGGGGCATTTGACGCGACCCAAGATGACCTGGTCGCCGACCTTGGCACCAAAGGGAGGGGCAAGGGCAAGGGAAAGCGCGGGGGCAAGGGTTGCCGCTGCACGCCCCGGCCGCCCAAGGGGGGCGGCAAGGGGGGGCCCTGCCCGAAAGATTGCAAGAAGCTGCCCCAGGATATCAGCAAACGCTCGACATGCAAGACGCCCACGAAACAGGCCCCTGGTCCGGGGGGCCCGAATGCAAGGGCGGGCCCAGGACGGAGCGCCATGTCCACTTGCGCGAGGACGATGACGGACGAGAGCCCGCATCCGTCATTTCTGTTGCTGCATCATCATCAACCCCTCTTCATATCATTAGGAGCAAAGAGGAGTCGTTGAGGATGGATCCTGGTGTTTATCGCTTCTGCTCTTCTTCCCATTCTCGCGTCGCGCGTCGCAGGGCGCGCGTGCGCGAGGTGGGGGATGGCGACGGACATTGCAGCTTGCAGCGCAACCACGTTGAGCGTAATGTTTGTGCGAGCTGAATGGAAATGACCGAAGCCGCTCCGGTTCGGGGACCTCCAGAGTTCCTAGGAGAAGAGTTTTCAGACTTCTGCAGAGGTTGAGGGGGGCGCTCGTGGGTCCATGGCTGTTCGCTCGATCGAATCTTACGTTGTGGCAAGTGTTTCTGGCGGGGAGTGTGAGGGGGAAGAATGTGTTTCGGATCCATTTTCTGTTCTTGGTCAGGATGCTGCGTTTGCTTCGGGTCAGCGCAAGGGGCTTATTTATGGCCATGTTCCCAGGGGTAATCCAGATTACTCGTGTTGGGGGCGCAAGTTGAAAAAGCCAAGTGCGGATCTGGTTTTGTTCTTAGGATGGGCCGATCGCAACTTTACCCGGGAGGGGGACGGACAGCTTTCGAGTGTTTTGGGAACGAGATTCTGCAGTGACGAAGCTTTGCCCTCTTCGAGTTCTTCTTCTGGCCTGAACAGGGGACCTCCAAATCCTCCGTTGCCTCGTCCAAGTGCTCGAGGTTGCCCGAATCTTTCGGGGGTCGGCTCGTTTCATTGTTCGCGCGTGCAAGGATTGTGGGCACAAGACCAAAAAGGAGAGGTACATGGCGCTGCGCTCTCCGGGTGAGCGCCCGCGCGATATCGTGGGCAGTCGCGGCAGTGCTCCCGATGTTGTTCGTGCGCGTCGTTGTTGTTGCCTGGCGCGCGTCGATGAGCAGCCCAGGAAGCTAGCAGAAGACAAGAACGCAACAGCTAAGCAAGTTGAGCGCTCCAGCAACATCCAAGCATCAGCGATTGAGCAGATTGTTGAGGATGGTCGCCGTATCACGTCTATAGAGCTGAAGGTTGTACTAAAGGCTTTCACTTAACGTGCTGTTGAGATTTGTGATGGCACGGGTGACATTAGCGCAGGTGAACGAACTTTATTGCTCCACCACTGTGTCGCAGATGTCGCATATTACAGTCTTGTCGGTTTTATGGCGTGGCTC